CCTTTCCTCTCTTCCTCCTTTTTCTTCCCTCCCTCCCTCCTTCTTTCCATCCATCCATACTTATCAAGTAAATACTGCATGTTTAGGATAACCCTGTTTTCCACACCAAATATCGTATCATGATGATCTACAGTCTGGGAAGAGAATGCCTTCCTCTTAATGTATCTCTCACTGGGGTCTACTTAGGGACAGATAAAGAATAATATAATGCATCATAAAAGTGTGATAATAGAGGTCTAGGCAAGAAGCGATTGGCTACATCTAGGGGAATCACACTGAAGAGCAAGTGCCACTTGAGCTGGGTATAGGAGGCCAGGGGTGGCTGGGAAGCAAGAAGATGAGCATGGACCTATACAAGGAGACAAGAAGAGGCCGACCTGGGGCGAAGCAATGAGAAACACGGGGGGAGGCACCTGCAGGTAAAGACCTGGAAACGGGATGGGCAACATGGGCTTCTCCTGCGAAAAAGGTTGAACTTTTTCTTGTGATTTTTAAGTAGGAGACTGATAGGATTATATCTGTTAAAAAACAAAACAAAACAAACCCAATTCCTAGGCTGTAGTACGGAAGATAGATTACAGCAAGGAGCAATTCATATACATTTGTTAGGGGTGACAGCTAATACGTCACTGGGTGTGTGACGGGCACCGTTATAAGTGCATTACACAGGTGTTCTCACTTTATTTTCATGACAACCCATTTTTACCCATAAAGAAACTGAGGCACATGCAGCGTGCAACTAATAACTGTTAGACCTGGGAGCAAACCTGGGCAGTCTGGCCCTAGAGCCCATGATTCTCGCTCTCCTGCTTTTGAGCGAATATGTTTGCAACTGTGGCCTTCTGGTGGGGATCTAGTAATGGTTAAGGAACACCCAGCTTTCAGGGGGTACATCGATCACTAGAATGGCAGCAGTTTGGGTTAGAGATTAGGACAGCCTAGACATTAGGAGGCAGAAGTGGGATACCCAGCATACTGGAGAACTCGTTAGGAGATGAGACAGTCAACTGGAGGTATGAGGTAAGAAAAGTTAATAAGGGTGGAGGTTACCAGATAGAGTGCCATTGCCTGAGATGGGGCAGAGGGGAGGGGCTGGGACAAGCTGACTGGTAAACATACAGAATGCAGTTTATGAGACTGTTTTAAGGTGCCTGTGAGACATCCGGGTGGGTTGGGTAGTGATGGGTTAGAAATACATTACTGTGGTCAGGCACGGTGGCTCATGCCTATAATACTAGCACTTTGGCAGGTGGATTGCCTGAGCTCAGGAGTTCAAGACCAGCCTGAGCAACAGTGAGATGCCATCTCTCCTTAAAAAAAAAAAATAGAAAAACTAGCCAAGCATTGAGGCAGAGACCTGTAGTGTCAGCTACTTGAGAGGCTGAGGCAAGAGGATCAATGGAACCTAGGAATTTGAGGTTGCTGTGAGATATGATGATGCCACGGCACTCTGTCTCAAAAAAAAAAGAGAGAGAAAGAAAGGAAAGAAAAGAAAAAGAGAGAGAGAGTGAGAGGAAGGAAGGAAGGAAGGAAGGAAGGGAGGGAGGGAGAGAGGAAGGAAGGATGGAAGGAAGGAAAGAAGGAAGGAAGGAAGGAAGGAAGGAAGGAAGGAAGGAAAGAGTGGCCAGGGTTAGAGTCACAGATTTGGGAGTGAGACTATCCAGGGAGAGATTTGGTAGAATGAGAATAGAAAGGGGCTGTGGACATTTAAGCGGGGGGAGAGAAGGAAGGAGGGAGAGAAGGAGAGAAAGGAGCCAACAGGCATGATGAGAAGGCACTAACCAGGAATGCACAAGGAATACCAAGAGAAAATGGTGATTTGGATGCTAGGAACAGAGAGAGCTTTAGAAAGCAGAATGGATGACTGTTGTAACAAATGTCGAAGCCAGAATCCTTAGCCAGCCTGTGAGTAGCAGGGAGTAGGTGGTAAAAAGAGCAAAACATTCCTATTTCGGGCCTAGGGGATGCCTGAGCAGAAGCAGAGATTATCCCCTGATGTTGGGAAGAAGGAAAATACCCCCACAATGAGCTCTTGATGATCTATGTTCATGAAAAAGCCTCGATCCTCTTAGATTGCTGGAAATTCACAAATTACTTCTGGTTAACTTCAGAGACACATTTGCCATCACTTATTATCTTGGAGGTGTCTGCAATAATTCCTAACTAGACGTTTGTTCTTTGAGTTAATTATTTTTACTTTTGCACACAGGTTTGATTGCCACCAGATGCGCAGTCTTTAGTGACAATTACTCAACCGTCAGGCGACCTCACAGACACAGAAGTAGGAAAGAGATTCTAAAGCCTTGTAGATTACAAAGGAGATTAAATTGACCATAATTTTGCTCACCGATAACTATCAATTAGAGAAAAGTCACAAAATAACAAACATTTAGTATTTAATTTTGTTACCTTAACACTATTAGAGAGAGCTTCTCCATATAATTTGAGATTTAAGCTCTCATAGTGGACCCTAACAGTCAATACTTTAGTGTTACAGTCCCCTGCTACCAGCTGGTGGCCTGTTAGGAACCGGCCACCCAGCAGAAGGTGACCAGCCGGCAAGGGAGAGAAGCTTCATCTGTCACTATCTCCCATCACCCCAGATGGGACTGTCTAGTTGCAGGCAAACAAGCTCAGGGCTCCCACTGATTTTGCATTATGGTGAGTTGTATAATTATTTTGTTATATAGTACAATGTAACAATAATAGAAATAAAGAACACAATAAATACGATGTGCTTGAATCATCCCCACATCACCCCCATCCTCCTACCCAGCTCTGGAAAAATCATCTTCCATGAAACCAGTCCCTAGTGCCCAAAAGGACAGAGACCACTCATGTGTTAGCACGAGCAGTTCCCATTAAGGCCTCTTTTGATTCAGATATGGCAAAGTTCATCTCAGACTTATTCTCACCAGGTCTCCTCTGGGTTAATCCATCCGGGATTGCTCTCACCCCGGCTGACTTGTTGGTACTTTCTAAGCATAATGTCTCTCCCACAGAACGTACTCAATAAATATTTGTTGAATAAATGCATAAACTGTCAGTTCTGCTTAGTGTACGCTGTTCATTCCAGCACTTGTTTTTTCACTCCGCTTGGCCCCCTGTTGTAAGTCAGATCTGAATGTGAGCAACTATGTGGCCCACTGGCACGTTAGTCCTGGAGGCTGGAATCTCAACTAGATTGGAAAACTCAGTCTGTTAGGGTTCTCCAGAGAAAACAGAACCAGTAAGAAACTGGCTCATGTGATTGTGGGAGCTAGTTAAGTCCAGGAGACCAGCAAGCTACAAACTCAGGCAGGATTTCTGTGCTGTTCACTTTTTTAAAAAATTAAGTCATAAACACATAGATCATGTATTGTGCTACTGACTTAAAGCAGAATTCCTTTTCAGGAAACCTCAGTTTTTTTGTCCTTCAGTTGATTAGATGAGGCCCTCCCATCGTATGGAGGGTAATCACCTTTACTTAAACCCAATGCATTGCAGATGTTAATCTTATCTAGCTACTGGTTGACCAGACGTCTATGCAGTACCGCTTAGCCAAGTTGACACATAAAACTTAATGCCCCAGAAACTATTGCAGGTAAACTCATGTCAACGGAAGTTTTTGTGTGGTAGGAAATATTTGCTCAACAATCTAATTTAGAGTATCCACAGGGTTTGGAAGACCAAAATCAAGCTGTTGGCAGGGCCAGGCTGTCTCTACAGGCTCTTTCCTCATCTCTTCCAGCTTCTGGCACTTGCTGGCAAACCTTGGTGTTCCTTGGCTTATAGATTACTCCAGTCTCTGCTTTTGAATTCACGTGTCTGTGTCCAAATTTCCTCTTTTTATAAGGACACCAGTCACTGGATTACAGCCCACCCTAATCTAATACAACCTCATCTTAACTTGATTACATCCACAAAGACCCTATTTCCAAGTGAGGTCACATTCACAGGTCCTGGAGGCTAGAACTTCAACATATATTTTGGCTTGCCAGGGGTAGGGGGACACAATTTATTTCAACCAATAACATAATTCAACCGCATGGCAGGGCTGGGAGCCCAGCTTGGGGCTGCAGGGATACACAATACCCCTTTCTCTAGGGGTGGGGCTGGGAGTCTGAGAAGGGGTCACTTCTTCAGCAGGCATATACGGCGACCTTTTGGTCCCCTCCCTGGTGAGCAGCCTCATGGTACAGTTTATGTCCTGGAGTACACCACGGCAGCTGACCTGTGGGCCCTGGAAGTGAGTAGTGTGTTGGGGAAATCCCTATGATGCTCTTGGCACCACCAGCTGGGATGAAAGGAGGAGCGGAAGGCTTTTCTGATCGGGGGAGGTGAACTAGGAAAAGTCGGCTAGTGATTATCCACCTGGTGGATGGAACCCAGGAAGGTTGCCGCTCTTTCTCTGTTCCTCCTATTAGCCAGTATGCTTGGGGGTCACTTCCATACCATGGTGCCCATAGGGGTGTTCTGCCTAACCAGAGAAGTCTTTTTTAGGGGGGGTAGAGTTGGGGGATGCAGAAGAAAGGACAGCCCAGGTATAAAGGATGCTGGATAATTGACTCTTTATCCATCAGTACAGATAATCGAGAGAGAAAGGAGTCTATACTCTGTTACTGGACGTAATGCTCAGAGTGAGTACAGGAGACTTGGAAGCTGGCAACATTCTGGAGAATGCTGGAATGACTTATCTGGGCTGCAGGCCCAGAAGGAAGCAAGTGGCCAGTGGGGCCAATGGCGGACACACTGTGTGCCAAGTGCTGAACGTTTGCTCTTGGCCGTCACTACGCAGTGAAGCGGAAGCAATTTCGACTGGAAAGCCCACGGCATGACTTTTCTATCCCTCCTGTTTTCAAGTTCGTGCAGCTGACAGGAGGAAAAAAATAGCCCAGCACATTTGCATTTAAGTCTTGAAATCTAAATATTTCTGTGAGTCATTCATTATTACCATATAACTCAGTGTTTGCATGCAAATAACTTTAATGACATAAATGCTTATAAAATAAGTCTCTTACCATATGAACGCGGTAAAGAATGCTAATTCCCAGAGTCATGAATGGCTTAGAGAAATCAATCACCTTCTCCCGTTCAGCCGTGATAGTGAGGCCTGCCACAGCCAGATCTGCTTTCTGAAAAGAACACGGAGAGCCTGTCAGTGGGGTGACCCGGGGAGACAGGGTACAGAGGCTTGTGACCAGAGGGTGTCGCTACTGAGGTGTGACTCTGTTTTGGCTTCTAAGATCAAGGAGTGACTCAAAGTGGACACAGCCCATCCCAGGTCTGAATGATCACTTGCTAAAGGACATAGATATTGAAGCTCTAACTTATGTTCATTTGTAGCTATATCCCTTTAAATACATAAATAATTTTTAAAACAGGGGGAATCACAGCCAGACTATTCAGAGACAGTCTCAAAAGGTCCTAGTAGAAGGGCTCGGGAGAGGAAAACTGGCAGATAGGGAGGGTGCCTGGGTTCTCAATACTGAGTAGTGTTCATTCAACTTATTCACCTTTTCAGTCAAAAAACCCTGCCTAGTGCCTCCCGTGCATCAGACACTTTGCTGGGGGGTGGTGGGGAGGAGTTGCAAAGTGTAGCAATGCTGGAACCACGAAACTAGAAACAATCTAATTCAACCCCTTTCCTTTTGCGGTGAGAAAGTAGCCAAGAAATCAAGCAAGAGGCTCAATGTCACCAAGGTCATCCTTGCCAGGGCTGGGGCTGGAGTTCAGGCCGCCTGGACCACTGCCCGCTACTTAAATTGCTCTCCAGGTTAAAATTCAGATACCACGAGCAGAACCGTAAGAAAGATCTCTGATCCTTTTAATGTAAAATAACCAGAGTTTGCTGTGAAGAGGTTTCATCCTTTTCTCTTTGCCTCCAGATTGTACTCAAAGGCCCGTGTTTGATGACAGTCTGGTCCAAATTAAGGCCTTCTGGGAAAGAAGATGCTATCGGCTTCCTCAATATTCTTCTCGGTCGGGAAGTTCTTTCTTGGATCTAATTTAAATCTATCTTGTTGGACGCAAGCCCACTTCCTTTTCTGCACATGGGGCAGACGGAAAAGCCCAGAGCTGGTGTTCAGTTCCAGTCCAGGCTCTGACCTAACTAACTGACTAACTGACCCACCTATGCTAGTCACCTCACTTCTCGAGGTTTAACCTCATCCACAAAGCGAGGGTGTGAAATTATGTGTGCTAGGGTCCTTCCTAGCAGTTTCTAATGGTGGTTCTCAAAACACAGTCTGTGGAGCCACCTGCATTAGAATCACCTAATTCTTAACTCATAGTTAAGAGCTGCGTTTTCTAACCTAGGCACTCTATCTCATGCTGGCCTCCAGTGATTTAACTCCTTTTTCTAATGCTTTCAAAAGATTGACACAAAAGATGAAAAAAGAAATGAGGAAAAGGGAAGTGTCACCCAACAACCCACGAACAGGGCCAATCAGCTCTGAATGAGTATAGAGTTTACATATACACATGCACACTTCATTCTTTCTAAACCTTTGCAAAGAGACTGGGGTGACCCACATGCTGGCTCCCATTTTACACACATTTTGTGTATAGGAAGGACAGATCCAGTGGCAAAGGTCAGTTTCATCTACATCTCAATCCCAGTCCTCCGTTCCCAATGCAGGTTCCAGCCCCCAAAGCAGACCCATGATCAGCACAGGTTACCCAACTCGGGGCCTTATAAAGTAGGGCCGTCCTTAAAGGAAAGTGGAGTGCAGATGAAAGAGATTTTTAATAAAATAATAGAAAACATGGATGACTCATTCTGTATTTCTCCACGAGAACTCCGATTACTGCTATCGAGTGACTCAACCTTTGGGTTAGAGAGTAAGGTTTGGCTAGAAGATTGTTAGTGTCTTCACTTGGAGGACTCTGGGCACTTGGGCCTTTCAGAACCTCAGCTCTCCAGGATAGCAGCACCAATTGGAAGTCAGCTTGTAAGCAGCAGAACTCCACAGATTTCATGAGCATGCCCTGCCTGAAACTGGGAGAAAGAAACTAAATGGGTTTGAATGAAGAAAGGGAAGCAAAAATTAGAAAAAGTGGAATTGATAAAATGCTCAAGAGGTAAACACATAGCATCCAGCCCTTTTTCTGGTCATTAAAAAAAAAAAAAAATCAATTGGCTGATCACAGTGGCTCAGGCCTGTAATCCCAGCACTCTGGGAGGCCAAGACAGACAGGATCCCTTGAGCTCAAGAGTTCAAGCCAGCCTGAGCAAGAATGAGACCTCATCTCTACTAAAAATAGAAAAATTAGCCAGGTGTTGTGGTGGGCACCAGCTACTCAGGAATCTGAGGTATCTCTTGAGAAAGAGGAGAGGGAGGGGAGGGGGGAGGATAGGGGGAGGGTAATTGGTGGGACCACACCTACAGTGCATTTTACAAGGGTTTACATGTTACATTTATTAAGTATAGAATATAAATGTCTTAACACAATAACTAAGAAAATGCAATGAAGGCTATGTTAACCAGTTTGATGAAAATATTTGAAATGATATATGAAACCAGCACATTGTACCCCCTGATTGCATTAACGTACACAGCTATGATTTAATTAAAAAAAAAAAAAGAGGATCACTTGATTCCAAGAGTCTGAGGTTGCTGTGAGCTATGATGACACCATGGCACTCTACCCAAGGAGACAGAGTGAAATTCAAATAAATAAATAAATAAATAAATAATCCAAATCAATTAACCAAAGTAAACCAACTCTGCCCTCAAGTTTTTTCCCCCATATCCAGCTTGGCTCCCAAAAGGGCAAACTTTGGATTAAAATTTGAAAACCACTTCACAAGTTTATAGAAGTTGGCTGACAATGACCTTATGCCAGAACAATTCCACATGTTGGTACGGAGGGACATCTGGAAATGGACAGCCTCCCACCACTAGGGCTCTTCCCTAGTCGCAAGGAGACTGACCACGTGCCCAGAGAGTTTGCCCCAAGCTCAGACGGGACACTTCTGTGTGTTCACAAATAGACACTTCCCAAGTTGAACCAAACAGAAAAACTGTCTCATGCCCACATCACGGGCGCATTGCCTCCAGCCCCAGTCTTTCCTTCTTCTGTCCCCAGGCAAGAGGAAGTTGGGGGCAGAGGAGGCAAAGAAGTGTGTGGAAAGGGGCACTGATGAACTGGAAAAAAAAAAAAGAAAAGGTGGAGGGTTCACAGTGGTTGTTTTTTTATACTGACTCAGTATAGAAAATTAATGATCTATTCTGACTTCAAAGCACCAGGGTATTAGCCACAATCATGTGGGATCAGATTATTCCAAAAGATATGTATTCATTTTATTTTACTTAGTTACAAAGATAATTATGCTAGAAGGCAACCTTCAGAGGGCTGATGTGCCATGGGACGACACAAACACTGGGATCACTGGTGTGGGAGGCTGGGGGGCGGGGCACAAGGACAGCTCCTCCCAGCTCTTCTGCTTCTCTGGCCCCTCGGGCGGGGGGAGCAGGCAGGGGCACACTCTCCAGCGGAAAGAGCATGGGATGGGACATCAGAAGATTTGACCCTTGCTGTGTGCTTTCTGCTCTCACAACCACTCAAATGTTCTGAGCTCTGCACCAGGCAAAGAGGGCTGGACGGGCACGGGGTGACTGTACGTTGCTGAGGAAAGAGAAATACACACGCCGGCCGAGCCCGAGAAGCGGGAGGCCAAATGTCATCATCTGCAGTCTTTGTGCAAACTTGCCAGAGGACCACAAGAAGCACCCAGATGCTTCAGTCAGCTTCTCAGAGTTTTCTAAGAAGTGCTCAGAGAGGTGGAAGGCCATTTCTGCTACAGGGAAAGGAGAAATTTGAAGGCACGGCAAAGGTGCACAAGGCCCGTTATGAAAGAGAAAGGCAAACTTATATCTCTGCTAAAAGGGAAACACAAAAGAACTTCAAGGATCCCAGCGCGCCCCAGAGGCCTCCTTCAGCCTTTTTCTTGTTCTCTTCTGAGTATCACCCCAGAATCAAAGGAGAACATCTGGCCTATGCAGGCTGGTAACTGGGAGATGTGGAGGACCCCTGGGGCTGACAGGCAGCCTTACAGAAAGCAGGCTGCGAGGCTGAGGGAAAATGCAAAAAGAATATTGCTGCAAACCAAGCTGAAGGAAAGCCTGATGCACCAAAAAAGGGAATCGTTGAGGCCGACAAAAGCAAGAACAGATAAAAAGAGGCGGACCAGGAAGGAGGAGGAGGAGGACAAAGAGGAAGAGGAAGATAATGCATAAGTTGGTTCTAGCGCTGTTTTTTCTCATCTGCTGTAAAGCATTTAATCCCTTTATACACCACTCTCCTTTTGAAGGAAAAAAAAATAAAATGTGAAGTCGTGTACAATTTGTTAACTGCACAGCGTCTTTTTTGGTGTAGTTAACACACCACTGACTGTGTCTTTACATGGCTCTGGCCTGGTACAGGACGGGGGTTGTAACTCGGCATGGACATGTAAGGCAGGTTCTTGTTGCTGCACGGCACAAATTAATTATACATGGGGACAGCGGGTTTTCATCTTCGGTTGTCTCAGATGAATTATGAAATAATTGCTGTTCTGTTAACTGAAAACCGCTCTGTAATTGTGAAAAAAAAAAAGTTACAGCTGTTTTGTTGACATTCTAAATGCTTTTAAGTAAACACAGAGTATGCCGGAAAAAGTATCCACATTTTCAGAAAGGAAAAAACTATATTAAAACTGTGATACTCAAGTCACATTTGACTTATGCAATTACAAGAGATACAGGATACACAGTAACAAATATGATTGGTATATAAAGAGTACTACAATTTTAATGCAATTTGTTTTCTTTCTTAAAATGTGCATACATTCTTCGGCACTGTCTGTATATATAGGTATTCTTTTTTTTTAATTAAAAAGAAAGCCTGTGGGTGGCGCCTGTGGCTCAAAGGAGTAGGGTGCCGGCCCCATATGCTGGAGGTTCAAATCTGACCCTGGCCAAAAACTGCAAAAAAAAAGAAAAGAAAAAAGAAAGAAAGCCTGTGGCTCAAACGAGTAGGGCGCTGGTCCCATATATTGGAGGTAGAGGATTCAAACCTGGCCCCAGCCAAAAACTGCAAAAAAAAAGAGAGAGAAAGAAAAAGAAACCTCAAACGTGGCTCTTTTCACAGC